AGCCAGTTCACATAGAACGTATGCGTCTGAGAAACACAGCCATCTTTAGAATTTTGTCTTTAACCTTCAGTTTATGTGGTAGCTCTATAGTATCACTGTTGAAGAGTAATTAGCTGGTGAAGCTACATAATGGCTATATAGATAATATATAATTCTATATAAATCTATATATGAGATATGAGTAAAATTATATAAGTATATGTACATATACACTACCGGTCAAAAGTTATGAACAGTAAGATTTTTTTTTTTTTTTTTAAAGAAGTCTCTTCTGCTCACCAAGCCTGCATTTATTTGATCCAAAATGCAGCAAAAACAGTAAAATTTTGAAATATTTTTATTTAAAATAACTCTTTTCTATTTGAATATATTTGAAAATGTTATTCCTGTGATTTCAAAGCTGAATTTTTAGCATCATTACTCCAGTCACGTGATCCTTCAGAAATGATTCTAATATTCAGATTTGCTGCTCAAAAATTTTTATTATTATTATTATTATGCTGAAAACAGCGGAGTAGAATTTTTTTCAGTAATGATGCTGAAAATCTAGATTTGATCACAGAAATAAATTACTTTTTAAAATATATTCAAATAGAAAACGGTTCTTTTAAAAATATTTCACAGTATTACTGCTTTTGCTGTATTTTGGATCAAATAAATGCAGGCTTGGTGAGCAGAAGAGAATTCTTTTAAAACCATTAAAAATCTTACTTTCCAAAAACTTTTGGCTGGTAGTGTACATATAATTATATGCATTTATATTTTCTGTCTTCGTTTAGAAAACTTGGCGGGAAAATCGTCACATAGCGTGTCACATAGATTGATTCCAGAACAGGCTGTAATGTGGGCAGGGGGTGTGTTCTCAATTATAAACTTTGTACATAAGCTCAAACAAACGAAAGGAAAAATGGAACAAATTCCTCATCGGAGCGACACAGATTGAGCATCAGTACCTGCGCTGGAAGGACTGCCGTGAGCTCCACTGCGCCTGTTTGCTGCTGCGGACCTCCTGCTCTCTGAAGTACTGGGAGTGCAGCTCCCACTGCTGCCTCCAGCGAGCCTCCTGCTCCCGCTGCCTCTCCAGATCCCGCACTCGACCCGACCAGTGCGCCGAGAGCGTCGGGAAAGCCACGGATCAGTCTGCGGTGCAGGCAGTGTAGCTCCGAAGCGTCATTTCTAACCGGACCTTTATGATAGACCTTGACCTACAATCACTGGAGCAGTCGATATTAGTTCACAAAATGTTGTGATCGGAAAATATTATTATTGCATATGACAGGCGCTAATGCTGCAGTTGAAGCTAAATCAAGTAAATTAGGCTCTGCTTGCTAACTCCGTGTGAAAATTTACGTTGAAGGCTGTGAATTTAGCGCACTGAGGCGTTTAACTTCTGGTGCTCTGCTGTTTCAAATGATTAATATGAAAACAAAAGTGTAGTTAAGAGGAAAGCCGTTAACGACAGCGGACGCGAAATAAAAAAAACAAAAGAGAAGCCTTCCACTTGGTTACGGCGCTACTTCCTGGTTACCTACGGCGAGCAGACAGATACAAACTCTTAACTTTTATAAAGAATATCTCTTTGGATTTGAGACATTAGTCTTTGCAACTTTACAGATCTTCTTTATGCACCAAGAGCTTGTAACACTCCAAAGAGAAAGGAAAAATTTTAATCGCATCTTATGACCCCTTTAAATTGTAGCTAACAAATAGAAATATGATGTCAAAGCTTACAGTAGCAGATGTTTAAACAAAATGGCCAGGCTATAGCCTAAATGTAAGACTTTTCTTGATGAATCAGAAAAATAAACTTAAAAAGGGAATGCAGGCATGCTCACTCTTTTGCATGCTCTTCACAGAATAAGAATGTAAGAGTGATTCCTTTACAAAATTAGAAAGTTGTGAAGTTGCGTAAATGGCTGTCAAAACCCAAATCAGCATTGGATAAAATACACTTATAGGCCTTCAATCTTATAAACAATTTTAACTCTGCTAGTTGATTTAATCTGAATTGAATGACACTATATGTTTGCATCCATATTTTACAACTCCACTGGACATTTTTATAGTGTTGAAGTTTCAAAAAGTATCAAAAGTTATTGAAATACTTATAACTCAGACATGCTGGCCCTTCAGTAATAGGCTATTCAGACGTGATCAAGAATCTACACTGAAGGTGACAGCAGTGTCTAACACTCTGCTAATTTAGAAGATTAAATATTGATTAAAAATGTGCAGTCAGCCGAGGTGTGAGTTAAAGAAGGGAATCTGATGGCAGTATTAATAAAGAGAATGACATGACTTTCTGGGTCATTGTGGGTTAAGCCTACTGCTGGATGAATTAAACATTGCTTGTGAATGTTTAATGGTGACCAGATAATCGCGTCTAATCGTCATCAGAAAGACTCCCCGCCTAAACCTCTAATGTCAGTAACAGGGTAAAGGACATTTTAATTATTAACTAAATGAGGCCCCTTAACTTTGAGCAAATACTCAGAGCTGCGGTTTGATTATTTTATTCCCTTCAAGAAGCAATTGTGAAATTAAGCAACATGTTCACATTACTTGTAATTCTTAACTTTCTTTGAAGAGAAACACTTTTAGATGATTTCACGATGGATCAGTCGTGTATTAAACGGTCAGCCAAACGGATCTTTTAATCTGCCTAAAGCTGAACCTCAATAAGAGAAGTAAAATCTACAGAGAGCTTGTTGTTTCAACATTTTACTTCACTAATAATCAGCATTTTTACAGACCAGAATTATAAATGGACCCTTTTTACAGACTGTGATGACGCGTTTCAATGGTCATCTGCATCATAAATCCCACAAAGTTTTTTATTTTTTAAAGGGGTCATGTGATGCGATTTCAAGTTTTCCTTTCTCTTTGGAGTGTTACAAGCTGATTGCGCATAGATAAGATCCCTGAAGTTGCAAAGACTAAAGTCTCAAAACCAAAGAGATATTCTTTATCAAAGTTAAGACTCTGCCACGCCCCCCTAAAACGGCTCGTTCTAACACGCCCCCACATATCTACCTCACTATGTGGAAATATTAGCATAATGCGCCCAAATGTTCACGCAAAGAAAGAAGGCGTGGTTTCAGTAACCGCAGTTAGTGTTGAAGCAGCCATGTCAGGGAGACGCTGTGTGTTTCTAGGCGAAAGCAAAAGCACTTTATTTGGCCTTCCGAAAGTAGATGCATTTAGGAATCTTTAAGATTACTTACAACAGAACAGCAATTTTATGCACTTTATGGATGACCGTTTTGTGAACCTAGGAGAGGAGGTAATTCTGACTTTGCTATGACAATCTGGAGCTTCTGAATCAGCTACTGTTTTGTTATTAATTGAAGTATTTGCTATTGACTGTTCAAATGCGGAGTGTTGGGCATGTGTGTGTGTGTGTGCGCGCGCGCACG